TTTTATCTGAAATTTATATTTGAAAAGTAAAAATATCAAACTAAAACTACTAAAATTGAATAAAAAGAGTATTATTTAAAACAAATTTTAAATTGAAAAATCTATTATTTTCGGATAGATGAAGTAATTGAAACTATTCAAAAATCGCCGTCAACATTATATTTTACTCTTCAAAAAATTAAAAGAGGGCCTAAATGTTTAATAAAAAGAAGATGATGAAACCCATCCAATGGAAAGTGCGTGGGTTTCACGTAAGTCTGAAAAAGTATTTTTGGGCTTAAGCCAATGGATTTCACTTTTGTATTTGTTAGTTTTCCTCCTTGGTTTTAACGGAGAAAAACAGTTTAAAAGACTTCAATGAAAATATTTAAACAGTTTGGGATCCAATTGACCTGACAGAAAGTTCAGAACCTGATTGAAATCTCTAAAGTTTAGGGACGAAATGTCTATCTACTCATTTTTATAAAATATAAATTAAAAACCTCAAACCAGAGGAATTATGGTTTAAGCCGGCGGTTCATTACTTCGCTCCACTTCCCCTAGAGTATATCTAGAACATTAAGGACATCATGCGCATTTGCCTTTATTAAGAATTTGTTTAAATACTTTTAATAAATCTTTTTAATGTATTGATTCATTAAAAATATTATAATATTTTCATTTAAAGAATTATAGTATTTTTATTTTTAATTTTAATATTTTAATTGTTAAAATATCTTGATTCTTCTCAATCTCTACAACCATTATAAGAAAGATAATTTGTTTGACTCGCATTTCATTTTCGTTTTTTACGTGTGTAAAAATAATGTATTATTTCCTTTAGCAGATAAAAGGATTAGGGAGAAGTTTTATATTAGCAATTTAGTTAAATATTATAGTCATGCTAAAAAAAGATGGTTGAAAAGGGAGAAGTTTTTTATTTGCAATTATTTAAACATCACAATCATGAAGTTTTATATTAGTAATTAGTTAAGGGATTTTTTAAGGATATATTTATTGTATTTTTTTATTATTAATTTGTATAAAAAAATAAAAATTGACTTAAATTTTATAACTAATTAATTAAATTATTTCCCATAATATTAATATTAAAAATAAAATTTATTCTTATAATTTTTTTATAAATTAATAATCAAAAAATACAATAAATATATTATTAGTTTATATTCCTAAGAAATAAATTAGAAAAAACCCGATTTATTCGGTGGTCAGAAAAACCCATTAGTTCAACATCATAATCATGTTGAATCGGGAGAAGTTTCATTCATATTAGTAATTAGTTAATCATCGTAATCTTGTTTTAGACAAATCCAATCCAAGTGCAGCGTGAGAAGGCCAAGAAATACATTTCTTAGAACCTCAGTGGAAGCCCAGTTCCTATTTGTGGGCTGGCGGCCCCGATTTGCCATTCCTCACAGTTAAGTGTTCATTTTTTTCATTTTTTTTTTTTTTTAATGATAAAACGCGGGAAACATCGCATGGCAATAAGGAGTGCAAACGGCATAGCAAAATTTACTGATGTATTTCTTTGAAGTTGGAATGGCTCAAATTGTATACATTGCATCTGCTTAGAAAAAGAAAAATGATAAATGAACAAATTTCAATGCGTCGAATAAACAAAGAATACACTGAAGTTTGCATTTTGAAAAGCAAAAGATCCAATCCAAATTCTAATCTTGATTGAGCGGAAAGTTTTTTCTAACTTTCGAAAAACTCAAAAAGTAAGCAGAAAGATCTCATAAGGCAAGATGATTCATATGAAACATTTTGAACGAGGTAGGCAGAAGTTCAAATTGGATATTACTATCTATGATCACTTTCTCAACAAGTCAGAATATAGCCAAATGGCCCAAACTACTTTGGTGAAACTAACACAAATAGAAGGAGTAGCTTTCAGCTTCAAAAGTTT